AAAACAGGGATCAGAACTCTGAAGAGATGATATTAAAGGTGAGAACTGAAGGTTTAGAAGGAGCTAGCCCCACAGAGGTCTGGGAGAGGAGCATTCCAGGTTGTGGGAATTCTATGTTATCTTGAGTTTCACAACTCCCATTTCACAGATGTGGAAACAGGCTGTTAGTCTAAGAAAATGACATTGCCCAATCCCTATCTTCCGCCAAAGGGAGGAACTAAATTAACTAAACAGGCACCGTATAAGCATTTTCTCATTTGATCATGACAACAATAATTTTTCATGGTAATGTTCCCATTTTATAGATGAAGAAATTGAAGAAAGTTATCAAATGTCAGATAGATACTTGGTTCTGTTTATTTATACTCTGCCTCATTCCAGATGGACCTGCACTCAGATTTGAGCCTCATCTGTCTGGTTCCAAAGTCCAAGCTCTTTTCCCAACACCAGACTGATGTCGAGTGTCTGAGAGCTGGCGATATAATCAGCTAGGGAGAGGCAGCCAGAGCAGAGGCCGAGTCCAAAATGTGGGGAAGCTGTTATTTCTGGAACACTGCCACCCAAACCCAGCACTAGACCAGGCATCCTGGTGGGTACAACCATATGTTCCACACCTATTTTATTTAGTCAATTCCTACTACATGTCAGGTCCTGTTGTAGGCTCTGGAGACAAAGCAGTGAACATGCTAAACAAAGACCTTTGTCTTCATGGGGCTTGCAATTGAATGGAGAGATGAGTAAGCCACACAAATGATTATAATGTTAACCAAAAAATTGCCTTGGAAAAACAGAAACGCTTACAATTTTAGGTCAAAGGAGGACGATATATGCTCAGGGTGGGGATGGGGAGCTAGATGAACCTTTTTGGATGAGTCCAGGTTCCATTATACCATCTGTCAAATGGAGATAATAGGCTCTACTATACAGGGCTGTTGTGAGGATTAGAAGTCATGAGGTCTTGCCTGTGAAGTACCTGTGGAGTACCTGGCAATAGGAAGTCCTATTACCTTCTTTATTCCTTCTAATAAATATTATTTATTGTTTTAGTCAGTTTGGGCTGCTTTAGCAAAAATACCTTAGACCGAGTGGCTTAAACAATACAAATTTGTTTCTCACTGTTTCGAGTCTGGGAAGTCCAAGATTAAGGTACCAGCCAATTCTATTTCTGATGAGCGCCCTTGTCTTGGTTATGCCCTCACGTGGTGGGGTGGCGGGGGTAGGGAGTGAGGGGAGAGAAAGAGTCTTCTGTCTCTTCTTGAAAGGACATGAATCGCATCATGAGAGCTCTACAATCATGACCTAATCACCTCCCAAAGGCCCCATCTCCAAATATCACCACACTGGGAATTAGGGTTTCAACATATGAACTTGGTGGGGACACGAATATTCAGTCCATAGCATCTATTTTGCAATAAACAAAAAATATTTGAAGACTTCTCACTGCCCCTGGGATAAAGTCCAAAATTCTTAACATGCCCTGCAAAGCTGTGCCTGATTTGCCCTGGCTTCCTTCTTCGACTCTCCCTTCCTCATATTCTGTCTGTTCCCTCTGTCTCTACTAGGCTGCCTTCTCCTTCCTGCTTCAAATATTCTCCCATGCTGTTTCCTCTACCAGCAATCCTTGTTCCACACTCCTTTCTCCCCTCCCATCCTTGATCAATCCTTTTTTCTCTTTCAAGTCTGGGGTATTTCTCTAGGAACTCTGACACTGAGTGTGGGGGTTCACCTGCTGTATGCTCATAGCTCCTTGAACTTTTTGTTCCCCCAGGATTCATCACAAGTATTTGTGTGATGTTCGTCTTTTCCATTGGACTTTGAGACCCATGAGGGTCAAGACTGTGTCTGTCTCATTCACTGGTGTATTGCGAGCATCTGGCAGTGTCTGGGACAAAGCAAACACTCGAGAATGTCGGCATAAACAAAGAAAAGGGATTCTTCCTTGAAATGTGAGTTTAGATACTCAGGATTGGGACAGAAGCTTAAGGCTTCCTCCAACAGAAACCAACGGTCAGGTCAGAGGTGATGCAGACATGAGGGGGAAAAATTTCTGCAGCTATAACCAATTGAGACATGGTTTTCTTCAGGACCAGAGGCATCACACAGAGGCTGACTTGAGAGAAGATGGAGCACTCAGGCAGTGTACTTGACCTTATTCCCAGAAAGGGGAAGTGACTTGTCCAAGGTCTCCAGCCATGGGGGTGGGGCTGGGAGTGAAAATCCATTCTGGCCCTTTCAGCATTGCAGCCTTCAACCTCAGGAAGAGAAAGTCACGACAAGAAGTTGTAAGACTCTGACACAGGGTGGTGACAAACTGTGAAAAGGCTCTGAAGGTTCAGATTTGTGAGACCTCAAGCAAGTTATTTCCCCTCTCTGGTCTTTATTTTTATCATCTGTAATAAGAGAGCATCAGGGTTAAGTTATATTGGTCAACAGACTCTGAGATGGAAATTTGCATACAGGAGGTCTATTGGGGCTCAATATCATAGGACAGTGGGAAGTAGGACTGGGCAGAAGAAATTGGGCCACAATGCTGGCCTCAGCTGATCCTGAAGGGAGCACTAGAGCTGGGAAAATCCTTTAGAGTTGTTTCAAATGGAGGCAAAGGGCCCAGGCCTTTGTATACTCCTGTCCCATCTACCAGTCATCAGAGGCAGACTGCCTGGAGCAGGCATAAACATGAGCTAGGTAGCTGCCTTCAACCCAGCAAGAGCCTCAGCTGAGATCTTTCCCAGCCGAGTGAGGGTGTGGGAAGGAATGAGAGCCACAGTCTGGCTTGTACACCACAGATTCCATTACAGAGGAATGTAGATGAGCAGTTTTCTAACTGTTCCATGTAGCCCTCAGGTTCCAAGAAGGTACTTCAGTAATTGGGAAACTGCTCTTCTTGTGTGTATTTTAATTTCTGCAAAAATCCAACATATTTCCTTGGAAGAAAAAGCTCTGCTGCTAGGTTGTAGATACTCTCGCCCTATCTTTTATTTCTTCTTTGAGGTGCTGATCACAGTTACAATTTAAATAATCGGTTGTGTAATGATCTAATGTCTGTCTCCTCCACTAGACAACAAATGCCAAGAGGGCAGCAACCATGCCTGTTTTGTTCACTGTTCTGTGTCCAGGGCATTTACATATTAGTTGCATATCTGTTGAACCAAAGCATGGCCTTGGCATCAGAACACCAGGAAGGCTGTTAAAGATGCAAATTTCTGAGCTCTACCTCCAACCACTGGTCTTCTAGGACAGTGGACTCTAACCATTTTGGCACCAGGGACCAGTGCTCCAGTGAGAATCTAATGCCTAATGATCTGAGGTGGAGCTGAAACGGTGATGCTAGATTCTAAGGTACATAAAGTTTGTGAACCATGTCTTCATTCCAGTTGTCCTAGGGCTCTGGTGTTTTAAACCTACTGGAGGAGACTCATCCGGCTTGTTTTTACCTACTCTCAGCAGTCCTCAATCCAAGCATGGCTTCAAAAGCCAAACTAAGGATCTGGCCACTAGCAACCTTCTGCAAACTCCAGTGTGGGTAGATGTGCCCAGGTCCTGGATTGCAGGCTGTGTAAGTCTAAAACAGATTCAATCTGGAGCCGAGTTTCAATTCTATGTGCAAATTTACTTTGCATGATAAAGTAAAAAATGTGGACTGAGCATAGGGAGTTTGAGAACAAAACGTGTTCTGAAATCTGACCGACAATGGTTCAAATCCTAAATTGCTTGATCTTGGGCAGCTATCAGAATACTGAATGGCTCACTAGTGCTACATGGTAGGTACCTTTGCATTCATTATTTAATGCATGCAACACTCCTCTGATCCTAGGTATTAATTCCATTGCATAGATAAGGAAATTGAGAAGGGAGAATTGAAGTAACTTGTTTACGGTCAGACATTAAATGTCAAAGCTGGAATTTGAACCCAGGTTGGTCTGTTGGTGTCCTCTAGACTCACTTGAGGTTTTTCTATATCTATAAAATGAGAACACCACTCCTTTCTCACAGGGTTGTGGTGAAGATTGAGAGATTAAATTTGAAAATATCTGGCAATAGTCACTCAATGCTACCTTGGTAAAGAAATGAAAATGCTTTGCCTATTTCTATGGGAGAAGAAACTCGAGGAAGAGTGATAAGTGACTGAGTCAGGACCAGAATCTAAGTTTTGCACTCCAAGTCTGATTTACTTTCTCTCACACACTCTCAAGTGACTCTAGAACAAGTGTATTGTGAACAATGCAAAAATGAAGAGGGTAGAGGGAAGGGACAGAGTCAGGCAGGGGAGGCTTCCTGGAGGAGGTTGTTTTCATTTTATGAAGGCAGTGTTGAGAGCTAAGCAGGAAAGGGCTTAGCTCCTAGTCATGATATGGTTTTCCTAAGCTTACTAGAGTTGCCGGTACTGAGTTCAGAGCTTGACCAAAGTCACACAGCTACTAAATGGCACTGGCACAACTTGGGGGTCACATCTAACTCCTATGCCTGGTTCTGTCTCCTTGGTACTGGAGAGGGAAGGGTGAGAAATCGGTAGGTATAATGTGGTAGGGCAGAGACAAAAGGGGGTCCCTCCAGAGATTCTCAAACAGGCTCCTTCTGCCACAGGGAGAGCCCAGTAGTAGGTGAAACAGAGGCCTCAGGGTCAGGCAGACCCTGGCTGGAATCCTGGCTCTAGCACTGATATGTGACCCCAGCAATGTCACTTTACCTCTGAATCTCAATACTCTTGCAGGATTGCTGCAGATTCAGAAAAACAGCCTCCATGTACCCAGTCCAGGGTCAGACTTGGTAAGAAAAACATGGCCATTGTTTTTCAATAGTGCCTGGACTGCCACAAATGGGCAAAAGGACTAGACACCCAAGGGACAGAAAGAGTTTCTTCAATGCCAACCACTCCCAATCCTGCAGTCGCTGGGCACAAATGGCCAGGTCAGGTCCATGATGCAATCACAGCTTCCTGCTTATGCTAAGAGGTGAACCATGACCCTTAGGAAATGGAAAAACAGCAGCCCATTAACAAGTACAAAACAAAACCTTGGTGAACTTTTATTTCTCATCATACGGAACTGGTAGCAAAGCCAAAGACTTCTGCACTTGAACACTGAATACCCCTCCCCACCCACGGGACATTTACAGAGTCATCTTGTCCCCTCTTGAATCCGAACCCCAAGGCTAGGGCCTTTTCTTTCCTGCCCAGCTTCACTGCAGGGAGGGCCTTGAGGCCTGAGGTGCCAGTAGCTTCCCCATGCCTGCATGGGTATGAAATGTGGCACACTGATCAAGCCCCTCTCCTGCCCCACCCCCAGAGAGGAGTCAGAAGCAAGCAGCATCTTGGCCCCTGCCTTTCTTCAGTCACGTCCAAATGGGTCAGAGAGGAGATGCACACTGTCAGAGGGGTGGGGGAAGTCATAATTCACAGCTTGTTTGCTACAGAAAGTGCCTGAGATCAGTCCTCGGTTGCTTCTGCCTAAAATCGAGGAGAGGGGACAAAAACTGCACGGTCCTTGAAAGATGACCAGGAGACACTGACTGCAAGACTGTGGGTCCCCAGAGGCCTTTGAGATCCTGTAAGATTTGCAGTTTGCTGCTGGCAGGTTGGTCTGAGAAACCCAAGGTGATGAGACTCAGACATTGTGGAAACTTAGCCCCACCCCTCAGTCTGCAACTACGGAAACAGAGGTCAAAGAGGTTTGGCAAAGTAGCCATGATCCCCTGGCCAGTGGCAGGGCCCAAATAAGAACCCTAGGGTCTCCTGCCTCTCCCACTGGGCCACATGCCACTTTATAAAGGCTCAACTTTTTGGCAAACATCTGCAGCAGAGCCACAGGAGACAGGAGGGTAGTAGGGTGCCGGGCAGGAGCAGCTCTGGGAGAACGAATTGCTTGCTCCCTGTTCTTCTCCTCAGCACAGGCACTGACTGTAGCTCTAGACATAAGGTTCTGAAGAAGTCTGAACTTCACCCATGAAGGATCACAACACAGAGAATTTACAACCGAATACTCCCTACTCGTCAGAAGGCAAAGTGACCAACAGAAACCCAAATTCTCTAAGAGATAATCTACCTTTTTGATGTGCTCAGTTTCTCTCCTGGGGACTCACACCACCAGGAGTGGCAGAAAGGGTAAAAGGGCAAACGAGGTCAAAGGAAGTGAAGTAGGATTGGGGTGATCAGGAAACAAGCGGCTTCTAGGCTGCCCGACAGAACAAGTTTTTGGGGAGCCAGGTGTGCAGAGACTGGCCGTGACCCTGACTTTCACATTGATGGGTGAATGGTAGGTGAGCAATAATGAAATCCGAATGAGGGGGGAGGAAAAGGAAGGCGGCTTGGAGTGTCAATCCCTGGAGGTATTTGCCCCTCTCCTTCGGGGGCCAGCCAGGGACCTTCCCAGTCTAGGAAGGCCTCGGTACTTGTGGTGCCTGGGGCTCTGCCTGCTGGCGCAGAAGTCCGAGCTCAGCCCATTTTCCTTCTTGTGCGCTCTGCCTCTGGGTTCAGGGGCAGGAAGAAGGGCATGGCCCTTGGTAATCTGCTAGTCCTCTTTTAGCCCCCAGGGGCAAAGCTGAGATCCCAGAGATCCTGTCCGTTCCAATGAGAAAAAGGAGGGTGTGGCTCGGGGGCTGCATGTCACACAAAGCCCACCCCCAGAGTGTGGTGGGTGGGCATGGGACAGAAAGGGATCGGGGTCTGTCTCCAGACAGAGAGGTCCTTGTAGGGAGGCGGATGCCTCCCTGGTCAGCTGCTCTAGGCCCAGGTCCTACACAGGAATCAGGTCATGTAGCGGGTGATGGCACGGAGGGCGTAGAGCAGGGCAGCTTGCATGCGGGCCTCCAGGAGCAGCAAGTTCACGTGGACCTGGAGCACAAACGAGGGCTCGTTGGTAACTGATGTCAGTCTTCGCCAACCCCATCCCTCCTAGACTGTCACTTTTCCTCATCACTCACCTCATCCTTTCCTTCCCTATACACATGCTCTAACTTTTCCTAAGGCTCTGAGCAGTTGGGTGCAGTGGACGCTGAAGAATTTTAAGCACATTCATTTCTATCATGAATAATCCATCCCCCAAAGCTAAAAACAAGAGCTACCACTGAGCACATTCATTTTCTCACTTCATGCTACCAGCAACCTTGAAATGCAGGCAATATTTATTTCCACTGCAAAGATAAAATGCTCAGGGAGGCAAAGTGACTTGCCCCAAGTCACACTGCTACTGAGTGACAGTGTTATGATTTGAACTCAGGTTCTCCTGGCTGCCACTAATGACCCTGTGAAGCACATTCCCATTTTACAGGTGAATAAATGAAATCTTAAAATCACAGTGGAGTAGGGCTTAGACCTAGGACAATATCCCCAGGTGTCCTGCCTGGCAATACAGACTCAGTCTAGGGTACTTCATTGGGTCCTGACCCCTTGGCCGCCTCTACTGGCCAGGCTTGTCTAGTTTCACCCTGTCCCTCTCCCAATGGCCGTACCTTCTCTGAGTGGCGGAAGTGCCTCCAGAAGAGGCTGTACATTCTTCGGGTGGTCTTCTCCGGGTAGCAGGCCACCGTCTTGATATAGACCTTGAGGTTCCGCTCTAGGAGCTGGTTCACCTCCCCATAGTCATAGTCATCGTATCTGGAATGGAAAGGCCCCAATAGCACCACTCACCCTCAGCTCCCAGAAGTAGCTCCTCTTCCCTAGCCCCACCCTACAGAAGGAGGAACAGAAAGTGGCAAAAGGCAGAAGGTAGGAAGCAACTAGAAGTCTGGTTCCTCTTAGAAAAACTGCTGATGTCATAAATCACAGGCCACTGGGGACTACTCTAAGGAATGCATAGAAAATGAGCATGCTTTATTGAGTACCGGCTATGTACCATGTGAACATGTACTCATGAAATCCTCAGAACTACTGTATATCGCTGTATATAAAACTATTGTACATACTATCATATACATCTTAAAGATGAAACTGACATTCAGAGACGTGAAGTCACTTGCCCTAGGTCACACAGCTGGGAATGGGATTCAAACCCAGCTCTGCCAGGCTCGGAGGTCATGTTCACTACTTTACATGGAATATGGAGCAGTAGGTCAGTGCAAATATTTACAGTGCAAATATGGAGAAGGAAGAGGGAAAGGGCAAAAAGGAGCTGCTACTCATTTTATAGATGGGCAAACAGAAAGTTGGTGACCAATGTAGAAGCTACTCTGTGATTCCCCAGTCCAGTGAGCCAGTGAGTCATCATGGATCAGGGTGGATGGGGAAGACTGGTTGAAAACTAGAGGACAGTTTCAGTCAGCAAAGATATAGGATGAAGAATCATGTTGAAGAGTGGAAGAGCCTGGATCTGAGAGCTGGGCAGGAACTGGCCTGTGCCACACTCTTAAGATGCCCCTCCGTCGTTAGCCTCCCCTGGGTTAGAAATCTGCCAATGATCAGCAAGAAGGCAGCCAATTAAGCATAGCTCAACCCACCCAGTGAAATATGATTTACACTAGTCATACACAGAAATACACATTTATATCTTTAAAAAATCTTGGGGATTTTTTTTTAATGCTTGTAATAAACTGTTAAATAAGAAAAAAAAATCATGTGTTCACTAAAATGTGCTTACATTTGATTAAATGAATAAAATAAGTGAAATGAGGCAAGGAAATCTTGTTTTTGTAAAATTATATATGTTTTGGTTATTTGTGAATGAAAAGAAGACAGGTGGGAAACACCTGACAATAATAAGAGCTAGTAGGATTATGGATAATTTTTATTTACTTCTTTTTGTTATTTGTTTTCTAAATTTACTAAAAATCAAGCTGTTCCTCTTTACAGACATCAAACATATATATATGGTTTTTAAATAAAATAATCATTATAATTTCAACTATACAAAAGCAACTAGATAAAGAAAAAAGCAATGGAGAAAAAGGTCGTAGGATGTGGATATGGTTGTAGAGCAGAATTTTGGGAAGTTGTTTTTTCCTTAATTCTTTAAATTTCTCACAATGTTATCAAAGTAAGACTCTTTTGAAATAAAAAAAAATAATCGTTCTGCGTATATCCTTGAAAAGCAATTTCACAATGATAGTTTATCCATGAGGATTTAGGTATAAGAGTTGTAATAGTGAAAAACTGCAAACTACCTAAATTTATTTAATACTAGAGAAATGGTAGAATAATTACACTACATCCAAAACAGAAAACTATGCAGTGGATTCAGTGGTTAAAAAGGCATAAAAGATCTATTTATACTGACAAGAGAGGCAGTAGAATATTAGAGGAAAAAAAAGCAACTTGCAGAATATACTTAGTATGATTTCAACAATTTATAAAAACCTACTCAAAAAAAAACAAACCAGAAAATACTTAGTAACAAGATGAAAATATAATTCATCACATACTCTACTGAGAAACCCATTATTAAATAATAATTTAGTGTACAGCCTTCCACACATTTTCCATGTATGTACACATTTTTAGTTAAAAAAAAAAAAGGAAAAAGAAAATTCTGGACCAGCTTTCTTTTCTCTCAATACATTTTGAACATTTTCCCATAGCAATATAATTAAAACATTATTATAATTTTTAATAGCTGCATAATATTTCACTGAATGGATAGAATGGATACATCATTATCTAAAGTCCCCTACTGATGGGCATTTATGTTGTCCTTATTTATTATGAGAGAAGAACTGCTACTTGGAATGGAAATACAAGCATAAATAATTCTCTAACTATATATTCACATATATATATTTATCTCTAGGGGGCGAGATTAAAGAGTTTCATTTACGAGGTTCAAAGAGTGATCACATATATTTTATAAACGGCAAAGAAATAAATTTGCTTTAAAAAACAGTATAGGCAGGAAGAAAGGAAAAAAAACAAAGAGGAAAAGGAAACAACTGTGAGCTCAGAGTGAGGACTCGCAGTGCACACACACCCTGGATGAGGGGACGTGTGCTCACCTGATGCCAAAGACGCAGTGGATGTAGTTCCAGATGGCCCTGCGGAGCACGGAAGTGTCCACTCCGCTGTGCATGGCAATGGTGTTGTAGGTGAGGCTATAGGCCGTCTGGAACTTCTCGTCCAGCAGCTGTCCACCCTCGGGGTAGAGCCGCTGAATCAGTGAGTAGCCATGGTCTTCCCAGGTATAATCCTGAGAAACATGGGACGCGGTCAGAGTGTGGACTCTTTGGGGCCCAAGCCTGGCCAGAGAGATGACATCCTCTGGAGCACACCTTGGCTCTCCATAATGCCCTTCCACCACCCACCCATCGAACCCACAGCTTGGTCTGGGCCTGAGAAGCTGAGGGGGATGTGCTTTGGTGGTGATCTTCTTCCTGTGATCAGCATCCCCTAGCCTAGGGCACATATGGGGCCCTTCATGATCCAGGGTCTCCCATTTCCCTCTAGAGGGAGAGAATATGCCCACTTCTAACCATTCAAATCATTGACCCCTTGACTGTAAATCTGGAGCAATGCCAAGACTAGCGGGGAGAGCCTACCTGAGCACGGAAGGTGGGGGGTGCCTGAGTCCCTCGTCGGGTGAAGTCCACATATCCGAAAGTGGGGTCTTCTACAAAGCACAACATGTCCGGATGTGGTGAGGGCTCCAGGATGTCAGCTGAGTATGTCAGAAAGAGGTCGTAATGAGGCCAAGGCTCGGAGCCCTGATTAATCATTAATAGGGGGCTGGGCGATGCAGAGTGGAGGGTCAGAGAAAGCCCCTCAATACAGTGAGTGGAATGAGGACTCCAGCCTGAGCCAGGCCCGGGGGAAGAGGTAAATCAGGCCCATGGAGCTAGTAATAACAACAGCAATCCTAACAGTAGCAGTTCTTTAGAGCGCTTACCCTAGGCCAGGCTCTGTGCTAAAAGCTTTGCTTCTCTTGTTCCATTTACCCTACATATCAATTCTTCATGTGGGAGGAGACTGAGGCCTTGAGGCAGGAAGTGACTTATCAGTGGTCACAAAGCCAAAGAGGCTAACAAGCCAGATTCAAACCCAGATCTGACCCCAAAAATACAAGAGGTACAGTACATGAAGATGTCTTCTCCTCAGCAGAGATGGCATAAGAAGGAGGCAGCCCCTGGAACCTGGACACCTATAATCACGTACCTGAGGGGGTTACCAGCAAGCTCTCCGATTTCTCCAGCTCAAAGCGGCTTTCCATCTCCTCTTGGGATGCTCCCTCGTCCCGCAACAGGCTCTCCTGCAGCTGCCTCATGCGTTCCATCAAAGCCTCCACGTCTTGGGCAGCCTCAAAGCCCTGGACAGGGGACCCATTGATGACCAACTCCTCCTCCTCCTTCGGCTGCCCCCTCCCCTGGGAAACTCCACGGATCTTTCCCACATGCCAAGCCTTCCTGAATGGGCAGCTCACATGGTCCGTGCTTCCCCAACTGAAGTTTATGAAGCTACAGAATAGACATGTCTTCTCTGAGATCAACTTTCCTCAGAGGTAAGGGATTTTAAAGTATCTGTATTTTTTTATATTAAAACAAGGCCATCTTATAAAATAAGAGGCAAATTTTGTGTTCTCAAAGTGCTAAAAACCAGGAGACTTTAAGCCTATGGGGCTATTTCATTTAACCCTCACAACCCACTATGAAGTAGGGTCTTTATTCTTATTTCACAGATGAGGAAATGAGCCTCGAAGTCAAGCAACTTTTCTAAGGCCTCTGAGTGTGAGACAGGGAAGCAGCGGCTTCCACCCAAGGATGAGGGAACATGCCAGCTTCTTTCTCACAAAGACCAGGCCAGTGACTTACCCCAGAGTTGTTCAGTGAATCCCTGCTGGGGGGGCTGCTTTGCTCGCTGGGGGGTGAAGGTGCCTGGGGGGCAGGGCTGCCCTCCGGGTCCCCCTCAGGGAGGATGCCACAGCCAAACACGAAGGAGGCCAGTGAGTGACAGTGGGTGAGCAGGACTAGGGCCTGGATGAGCTCGGCAAGGGACCAGCTGTGTTCGCCCGTCTTCAGCAAGGCCTGGAGAGAAAAGATCAGTCTTGTTCAGTGCCTGCTCCTGGGCTGCCTGCCATGCCCCAGCCTGGTCCCTGTGCTCCCTCAGGGACCTGCCCTCTGCCCACTGCACCTGGATGTGCTCCTTGGTGATGAGCCACGGCCGATGTGCCAGCAACTTGTTGATCTCACTGAGCTTGCGCAGCTTCTCGGGGGCACGATGGAGTCCAAGTAGCCACTCAGAGTCACCGCCACTCTGCACAAACTCAGTTATGTGGGAACCCACCAGGTAGGAACACTGGTGGCGGGCAGCAGCCTGTGGAGGTGGTAGACAGAGTCTATGTCACCCTATTCTTTCTGTGCCTTGCTCAGGATGGGTACCCCATGGAAGGTGACATCAAGGCCTCACTGCTGCTTTTAGGTTCTAAGCCTAGCTCTGCCACTAATTTGTTGTCCTACCTTGGGCAGGTCATCTACTTCTTTATGCCTCAGTTTCCCAATCTGTAAAGCAGGCACTAAAGATGCCTCTCTTCAAAACCTAAAGTTCTGTGGATGGTCAGATAAAGCTAGGGCTTTCTTCTGTTTCTCTTCCTTAGCTATGGTCAGTTCAGGAAGTCCCCAGCAAAGAGATCTGTGGGCTGAACCCTCCCATGTGGCCACCCCTGCAAGCTCACCATGATGGCAATGTAGTGGCGCCAAGAACTGGCCAGGGGCCCATCTGTATGCAGCAGCAGGTAGTGTAGGCGCCAGAATCTGCTAAGGTAGTCAGGGTGCAGGCCCATCACCACTGCCAGGTTGTCCACCCGCCCCGAGGACATCAGTGCGTCCAGCCCTAGGTGCTGCTCAAGGCTCTCAGCTCCCTCCTGAAGGACCTGCCAAGAAAAGGTGAGGAGAGGATGGGTTCCCTCTGGCCTCCCCACCAAAGAGACCAACGTATTCATTGCAGTGGGATTATAAACGCAAGAAACTGAAAACCACCATCATGTCCAAAAAAAACAGAATAGGGGAGGAAAAGATATTTTACTAAGTGATTAAACGAACTTTAATTAGACACCTTATATAATAATAGCCAAATCTGATACAGCTCATTATGTGCCAAGCACTGTACAACCACTTCTTTTCTGTTTTTATTTTTTTTTAAGCACTTTATATTTACTCATTTAATCCTCACAATTATGAAATTAGAATTCTATTTTCTCAATTTTTGGACAGGAAAAGTCAGGCACAGATATCAGAGTGTAGTTTCTCCTGCCTTTATGAAGCTTCTATTCTAACGGTGCAAATCCATACAGACATGGAAGGTGGGTGCAAAACAGTTCACGTTTTCTGAGTGCTTTCTCTACGCCAGGGCTGAGTCTGGAGCTTGCCCTGCATTATCTCATTGAATTTTCCCAGTTATCTTGTGAGGTGAATACTATTTTTCCCCCATCGACAGATGAGGAAATCAAGGCCCAGAGAGGTTTCACTCCTTGCTCAAGGTTACAGATTCAGTAAATGACACAAGCAGGATTCAAACCCAGATTAACCTCAAAACCTATTTCTTTCTTTTATTATAAAAGAGGAGTGATTATTTCTAAATGAAAAAATAAAATGTAAGAACAATACTTGATCTTAAAACTCTGGGCTACAGACATGAATAATCTGTGGGTGGTTGTTTGCTTTCCATTTACAAGGGGTGGAGGGAACTAGGGAGTTAGACATTTGTTAACAGCTCATTAACTACTTGGCTTACACATTTAGGACAGCAAAGAGGACCAGGAAACAAAACATTTGTCTTTGTTCCCTGAAGGCCAAAGAAAAAGAAGGAAACTTATTTCTTTATTTTTCTGCAGTGAGCTACGAAGGCATCCCACCACCACACCCACTCCACCCTGGAATGTCAGCTCCACCAAGGCCAAGATTTTGGTCTGTCTTGTTCTCTGCTGTAACCCCAGAGCCTAGAACAGTGCCTGACACAGATTAATCATTAAATAGGTATCTGCTAAACAAAAATGAATGATCTGACTCAGAAGATGAAAGAGATCTCTGTTATAAACAAAACAAAACTTAACAATTCCACCCCCCCTAAAAAAATAAATAAAAAATAAAAACATGTAAACTATGACCTTGGCTCTGTATGAGAAAAAGTCCAGAAAGCAGTGGCAAATGGTTAAGTACCACTGATTACATCTGTGGAGGGTGGGATTACAAGACACTAGAGCTTTCTGAAACATTGGAAATTCTAAAATAATGAATATATATTGCTTTTGAAGTAGAAAAAAAATTTTAATATATGCACAGTCGGATGAGAAGATAAACACAGATAGTTCTATCTTCTTAAGTTAAAGCAGGCCTCTTTCTGGGAATCAAAAGTTTGTTCATTACCTAGCTGTTATCATCACTTTATCTCTTTGAGCCTGTTTCTTCCCAGCAAAATGGGGTTGTCATGCCTGCTTCACAGAGCTGTTTTGCAGATTAAGTGAGTCAGGACTACCTGAAGGGGTAGTTCCAAGCTGCTATTTCAAGAGGCAGGAAAAGATCCCCACCCACCCAATGTCCATGTCCTTTCTTCCCAGGACCAGCAGTTGCTAAACCCTTCCAAGCTTACCTCCTCCACTGGGATGAAGGCGCTGGGTCCCCGAGGGCCTCGCCGAACCCGGCTTTCACTCGGCTCCTAGAAGGAAACACGATCATGGTTAGTTGGAGGTAAAAAGGAAGACTAAAAGGATAGTTATCTCTCCAGTTTTCTCCTCCTCGAGGAGCCATGCTAAGCTTTTAAAACTCCCTTTCTCGTGCAGCCTGCAAGGAGGAGCCTGGTGGGAGTTATACACCTGTTTGGTAGGTGGAGAGAGGATAAGCAAGAGAGGGGCCTAGGGAAGAGAAATACACAGCCACCATGTTGCACAACTCCAGGAGGCCACCTTCTTGGCAGCTCTGGAGCATCTATACAAGGAACCTCCTCATGTACATCCTGAAGCTGTGTTTACCAAGTACCCTAGATTCCTATGATGCAGTCTCTCTCAAATTGTCATTTTTTTCCATCCCTCCTGCCATCACCACCATCTCTGGTCTGGACTGCAACCCACAGGTTCACCTATGGTCTCCTCGCCCTCTCCTATCCATCCTCTACCAAATCAACAAAACAAATGAATAAATAAAACATCCCCCGTAGCTCCACCTCCAGGACTAGGAGCAGATTTAGTGAGTAAAAGACCCTTGTGGTTTCTAGAGAGCAAACTTTCAGTGGCCAGAATAAAAACCTTCTCAAATGCAAATCTGACTATCTGGCTTTAAAACCCTGCTTCTACCTCCCCATAGCCTTAGAGATAAAATTAGCAATTCAGGCCCATGGCCCTCCTGCCTGTCACTCCTTTTGCAGAGTTAACTCATAGTCTCTCAGGGCTTTGGAACCTTCTTTGGATCTTCATCTGTGACTCCATAATTCCCAGGGCTTTTGCTTCTGAAAACACTGTCTTCTAATGGTCTGATTTAGGTCTCCCTACCACCAGATCACATTTCGTGGTGAGCAGGGCCAGTTCATTCACACTCGCCTAGCCTGTGAATGAAGAATGAGGAGAAAGCAGAGGCATCAAGGGAGCCAGGGCAGGGCGCACAAGGCAGCCAGTAGCAGTTATTCTGATGTGTACGTATTGGAGCCTCTTTGGAAACCACCAGTTACGCACTCACTAAATCTGCTCCCATTCCTAGAGGTAAAGTTCAGGGAAGATGTTTTATTTATTCATTTGTTTTGATAACTATGTTTGGGGGGCTCTCAGCACTGGCCTTGGAAAGAGTTTACCCAAAGCTGAATTATGCCCCCAATGGACAGAGATAGTGTCCCCCTAATTCTTCTCAACTTATTAAAATCCAGACTTAGTACCAATGAACCCAGGTGTCCAGGGATTAAAAATTATAATTGAACCTCCCTTCTCAGATGGCCAGAAACCCCTAAGGGGAGGCAGAGCTCTCCAGCTCTGAAAGTCCACAAAGGAAAGAACAATGAAACCTGGAAGTCCTGGGTGTGAATAACAACTTTGCCACTAACTTGCTATGTGACTCTGAAAAAGTAACCTAGATTCTCTGCGCCTTAAACTTGGACCCACCCCGCCCCCCAAAAAAGGTAGTTGGGCTGATTGCTTAGGCCCCTTTCAGCCCACACTTTTGGGAGCTACCTGGCCAGGCTGGTCCAAGTCCAGCATAGAAACCACAAGCCCCAAGCACTCCCTGTCTCAGCTTCCCTCCTCCCTCACCAAAGAGAAAAAGCCTGACGGCTCTGTGTGGGAGATAAGAATTGCTGACTCTACAAAGAGGGCCTCCCCCTCAGGGAACCTGTGGGCAGAGAGAAAACCACAGCCAGGTGGGGTAGGGAAGGGTAGGGTGGAACTGGGGTTTGGGGGTGGGGGGACAGTAAGGGCCCATCAGGGTGCTAGTAAGGTACAGAGAACAGCCTTGGGAGTCCCTTCTCCCTTAAAATTTGCCCCTTCTCCCTTAAAATCTGCCCCAGGTGCTGTCAAGGGAAGGAACTAATACCTGTGGGTCTTTTAAGTGATAGGTCTGGATCTACCAACATTTTAGGTCCTGATAATGATGATGATAATACAGTACAGGTAAAAGATAGGAGCTCTTGACAACAATTGTTTGGGCTTAAATTACATCTCCACCACCATCTGCTACCTATGTGAGCCTCAGTTTCCTCACCAAATAATGGGGCTAATAGTACCTACTTTCATGGGGTAGTGATGAGGATTTAATGAGATAATGCCCCTACCTCAATACCACTATCACAGCAAGCACTTAATACAAGTCAGTTTTTATCTATCTCATTATTTCAAACAATGGCTTCTCAGCCCAGGCAGTACTTTAGAATCCTTTGGAGAGGCTTTTTAAAAAATACCAATGCTAAGGTCCTACCTCCAGTAATTTTAATTTAATTGGGTAGAGCCCAGCATAATTTACAGCTGGGGTAGAGGGCCATTGTTTTGCCCCATTTATTGATCACTTTCTCAAGTATAAGGCACTTTGCTAAGGGCTTTTGGAAACAAAATTAATCTGTTCATTCAACAAATATTTTTGACAATTACACTGCAGACAGCAAGAGTACAGGAGTGGAAAGATAAAGTCTCAGTTTTCACAGAATTTACAATCTAGTGGAGAAAGACACAAATGATCAATAGGATTTCAAATCGTAGATTATATAAAGTAAATAGAGCAATGAGAGAGTATGTGATGGGGTGAGGGTATGTGCAATATTTTAGTCTGAGTAGACAGGGAAAGCCATTGAGGTGGTAACCTTTGAGTTGATTATCTAAATATCAAATATCTAAATGAGTTGATGAGAAGGCAGCAGGGCCTATAAAGATCTAGGGGACCAGCATTCCAGCCAGAGGGAACAGAAAGTACAAAGCTCTGAAGGCACAACCAAGTAGATTCTTTCTAATCCTGAGCTCCAATACACTGAATGCTTCCCTGACCTTGACACTCAGAATTTCAGGGGAAGCAGACAAGAAAGAGTCTCACTGCCAGGAGAGGAAGCCTCCGAATCAACCCTTCCCTATTCCCTGGGGTAAAATGTCAATAATAATAACAATGGTTGGTAATACCCCTGATTACCACTGGTTAAGCACTTATTTTACATACACTTTAAGGCAGGAACTACTACTACTAAGGTTCGTATTTCACAGATGAAGACTAAGGCTCAGAGAGATCAAGTCAATTCTGGTCACTCAGCCAGGAAGGAGGAAGCAGAGTTGGGATACAAACCAGGTTTCCGCAACTGCAGAAATTATTCCCATTCTCTGAACTTCTCCAGGGCTCAACAGTCCCAAAGCTTTGCATCTGGGGTTCCCCAGGAGTGAGAAGCTCCTTCCCCAGCCCACATCCCCAGGAAATCTACTCGCCCCAAATCACAGCACCTGTCACACTGTGTTGTTTCTTCTGTTGATGGTGCAGGCTGGATCTAGTTACCTGTTGTTACTCCAGTGTCTAGCACAGAGCAGTACACCAGGACTTCCTGCAATGATGGGATATTCTATACCTGCATGGTCCAATAAAGATGGTAGCTCCTAGCCATAATGGCTGAGCATTTGAAATGTGGCTAGTGAGACTAAAAACCTGAATTTTTAATTTTTTAAAAAGTTGTCAACATTAAAAGAGGCAAATTAAAAAAAAAAGAAAAATTATTAAAATGTAAATAGCCACATGTGGCTAAGGGCTACCATATTAGACAGTGCAGGTTCGGCACACCCGATAAAGGCAAGATCCCCACCTCTACTTTACAATTGAAGACAAGGAAACCAGAGAGGGCAAGTGATCTACCCAAAGTAACATAGTATGAGGAGGGAAGACCAATGATGGCTGTTCCTATAGTTCCAATTGAGAGGATCACATGGGGCAGCAGGAACAACAGCCTTCTGGGTGACCACTCAGCGAGGAGGGCTTCAAGTAACTTGTAAAGAGGATAATCACCTCAGAGATCAGTGCCTGGCTCCTAATTTAAGAGCTTACTAAATGTTAATTTTTGTATTAGCACAGGCATTTGTACATAGGTTCCATCTAATCTTCATCAGTTTTGGGGTGGGAGGGGGTCTCTATTTTGTACTTAAGGAAAGATTAAGGTTCCAAAGGTTAAGTAACAGCTGACAAGTGGCTAATGTGAGATTTGAACTCAGCTCAGTTTGGCTTCCAAGGGTTCTGTCCACCAATCAAATCAGCCTCTTGGAGTAGCACCAGTCTTTATCCTATCTAGAGCCTGCAACTCCCAGGACTTAACTACAGATACCTGCCAGCTGGGAAGAAGCAGACTCTCCCAGGCCTCCACACTATGGGCAGCTGTGGTCTGCAGAACTCAGATCTGTTCCTTGGTTTACACCTGAGAGGAACACAGCCCAAACAGCCTCTGACCACCCTTGTGGGGAGGGAATGTGAGTGCTGTCACAAACTTGTATGCCCACCATGGGCTGGGCATTAGGCTAAGTGCTTTACACATCTGATCTGGCTCATTTCTCACAACCACCTGTATCATTGAGGCTCTTTCTGAGTCCTGTTCCAGACAGGCACAGCTCAGGTTGGACTTCAAAGCCTGCACAGTTCACAAGGGTCAGCTAAGTCAACAGGGGCAAATAGTTACAAGCACTTATTAGGTGCTAAGAACAGTACTGGGGATGTGACCTACAGAGTGTTTCTAGTCTGGAAAGGGAGATGGACAAGAAACTCCTGATTATACAACTGTTACACTATAATTGTGATAAAAGCTCCTACAAGGGAGAGAAGGGAGATTGGAAAAGGGTATGCAGAGGGGACTTTTCTGGTGGGGGAGGAAAGTCTTCTCTGAGGAAGTGATATCTGAGGAAGTGATTCCAGAGCCTAACAGAACTCGGAAAACATACTACCTATACTAGAGTGAAGTGTCTGAAGGCTTTGACTCCTTGAAAGGATGTGTGGTGAAGTGATGGGAGTTGAGGAGATTGTACATGTGGATCTTCCCTTGGGCTACCAGGCTTTGTAAGTCCAGCACCCTACTGTCTTCTAAGATTCCACTTAAAGCAGACATCTTCCCAAGGTCCTCTTTTCTTGAGAGAGAACATATAAAAAGGATTCTGATATCACCCACTTTCCCCTCTGTGGACATATGGGTTCCATATACACCTCAGAGCCTGCCCAGACCATTTCCCAGGCATTGTCCCGGAGAGGGATAGACAAACTCTCACCTCAGGCAGGAGGGACAAACTCAAGGGCACCCTTGTGAGACACTGGGGAAAAGAGAAATGTGTGATAGCCACATTCTAACAATAGCTAGCTAGTAACATTTTGACACAGTTACCATGTTCTAGGCACTGTGCTTTGGCCTTTGCTTGTATTCTCAGTCAATTCTCCCCACAATCCCTCAGATACTATCGAATCTCCATGGGAAGAGGTTGTGGATCAGAGAAATGATCACTTGGCCAAGGTCACACAGCAAGCAAGTGGGAAGGCTAGATATGAACCTGGAGTTCTTCTGGCTCTAGGGCCCAGGTGCTCTTAAATAATATTACAGCAAGTCCTGAAATAACATCGTTTCAATGTTGTTTGTTTGCATCAATGAGCCTATGGTAAGACTGATCTCCTTATTCATCATTTCCCTTAAGGTCACAGAACATATCCACCACGTTTAGTGAGGAATTAATTGCATTTCCATTTTTTTCACAAAGAAACAGACTCAAAGAGTAGAATGACTTGGTTAAAGTCATACAGCTGAGAAGTGTCAGGAACAGGTTTTGTTTCTCCATGTGGGGCTCCTAAACCATGGTGGAGAAAGGTAAACAAGCTAAGGGGAAACCGAGGACACGAACCACCCACCTCTGTCTGAGTAGGACCCCCAGAAACCATGCTGCTTAGAGAAGCCCAGCAATTGTCCCAGGGTCACAGTTTAGGACTAGCACTCGCCTGACTCTCAACTCCAGTAATCACTTGCGCCCCTCTCCAGGCCTGGAAACGAAAGGAACGAACAAAACTCCCTGTAGTGCCAAGCACATTCAGAAATCCTGGAGACACCCAAGCCAAAGAATGAGCTACTCTGTGGGGTTAGCGAAGGAAGCTTCTCCATAGCCCCTCCTGGACCTCAATTTTTTCAGCCTGTAAAATGGGGCTATAGCATAATTCACCATTTTCTAGTTTAGTCCTGAGATCTCAGAGAAAAGGCAAAACCCGAGCCTGGCATATAGTAGGTGCTTAATAAACGATAAGATATCCATGATCGTGGGTGGGGTGATGGGGGGGCGAATTGTCAGATTAGGCCCAGCTTTATTCCTAGCCTCACTGTAAACGGAGTCCCTAAGAAACTCCTGGGACGTCAGACCACTTGGTAGGGCACAGCCTACTCGGCGCTTGGTTTGGGAGCCGCGGCCAGGGTTTTCTTCCTCTCCCCCAGCTTTGGCCGCCGAGTATCCGGCAGTCAGCCAAGGACCGGGAGCGCTCGCAACTCCCCTTCCAAATCTGGGGTGCAGGTGGGGGCGGGGTACGGGGTCCACCTTCGCTGGCCAGTCCCAGGTGCCCCATTCCCGGCGCTGGGGGATTGGAGCCCGGGACGTATCCTTCCTAGAGTCATCTGCTCGCCAGCCCCAGCCCAGAGGAAGGGGGCGGGGAGGAGGAGTGGTCCGGCAGCAGCGGCCGGGATTTGCCTGGACTTGAAGACTCTCTCTACCAGAGCCCAAACCCAAGGAAACCTCGAGAAGGCTCTCCTCTCATTGGCCAGGAGTCCGAGGGAGCCCTGGAGGTCTCCACAGCCCCGGGGAGAGGGGGAGGGGTTGGAGAGGGCCGAGTCTGCCAGTTGATGCAACCCCACTGCTGGCTTACGCGCTCCGCTCCCCTTCTCCGAGCCCCTGCGGTGCACTGACTGAGCTCAGACCAGCCCGAAGCTCGGACGTGGCTCGGGGTTCAAGGTAAAAGTGGCGTAGCTCGGCCGCTGCTTACCTCTCCGGCCTGGGGGCCGCCGCCGCCGCCCCGGGCGAACGGCAGGTAGCCCTTAAGCTCCGCGCGGCACTCGGAGTCCGCAACGATCATGGTGTGCACCAGGACCCGGCCGCCGCTCGCCGACGACCCGTGCACGGGAGGGGGTTGTGGACGGACGCACGCAGGAAGCCGGGACTGGGGGCCGCTGGGGAGGTTCTTGAGCCCCGGGGTGTCTCTCGGGGTTCCAGAAGGCTCAGAAAGCCCAGAATCCAGGAACGGCCGCTGTCTCTCTGGACTCTCCTCTCGTCTGGCTTCTGGAGCGGTGAATGGCCTCGGGAGACTGGGATTACCCGCGGTGCAAGGGTTTTCTCGGCCCAGAGTGCCTCGGAAGTCCGCAGTGGCCAGGGCTGCTCGCGGACTCAGCGCTTCTCAGCATCCCCGCCGCGGAACTGCCAGCGCTCGCCGGGATCTGACACCAGCAGCGCCTCTCAGCCCGTTGCGGTCCCTGGGGGAGGGCGGGGACACAAAAGCCCAGGGCCGCGGCCAATCAGATGCCTGTTTCCTGGGAAGGCGTGGCGACACCGCCCTCAGGAATCGAGAGCTCAGCCAATCGACAACAGGAAGCGCCCGGGAACTCTGGGAGCTGTAGTCAGCCCCGGACGAATGCTGCAAACTTTTGCAAGAGGGTTTAGTCAGATCGTTGGCAATACCAGAAGAGAGTGACAGCTCGGAGAGTCATTACAGCTGCATGATGAAACGGGACTTCACTGGGCTGGGCCAGAGAGCCGTGTGTTAAGTCCCTCCAAGTACGTTCTTCAGCCTTATCAGTTCCTGGAGGGACTAGTTAGGGTTAAGAGAAGTGGTTTTAATTATAGAACTGAACGCCAGATCTGGGCACAGTCCTGTTCCCCTGGCCTCCGGGAGGGCTCCGCCTTAAAAGTGTATCAGACACAGGGAATCCACCTTATTTGTAGAGTCTCTGGAAAAGCCTTCATTCATTGGAATATTGTTGGCAATTTAAGTATAACCTCAATCCCCTTCTGCTCCCTTGGGGCCTCCGGTCCTGTCTTACATCCCTGCCACCCCTTTCCAGAAACTTGTGCCTAGGCACTCTACTAGGTCTTTTCTCACCTATCTCTCTGGCCACTCCTTCCTTCTCTGACTCCTCTTTCTTCTCTCACCGCCTGAAATGTGGGCGTTCCCCTAGTTTCTGTTTTTATCCCTCATCTCTCCAGACATACTCTTCCTCCCTGATCTCATCCATTTCCTGGATGCAACTCTCCATTTGAGAGTAAGTCGCTTCCACCAGACCCCAACACCTGGAAACTGAATTAATCTTCTGTCCCCTTCCCATAGATCCTCTTCCTTCGCAGTTTTTCTTCAGGGCTCCATTTTTTGTTTTGTTTTTCAATTCAAAAATCATTGTTAACTCTGGATAGAGAGTCCTGGCTGGACCTCCAAGGTCCCCTCCAGTTCCAAAGATGACCTTCTAACATAGTCTCCTGCCTACTTCTTAGGAGAAAGAATTAATCTCACCCTCTGCTGAGATCCCAGGCATTTGAGCTGAGTCTCCTTTGTAACACTTATCACATTCTACCTTGTATTGTAATTTTCTGTGTACATGTCTTATCTGACCCTTTTGATTATAAGCTCCTTGAGGGCAGGGTCTACATCTTGACATTTTTGTCTTCTGCCCTATGCCACCCAGCACAATGTTCTGCCAATAATATGTCCTTGGTGACTGAATCTTCTTTTAAATTGAACTCCCCTCTAAATTACCCTATGTCAGATTCAGCTTTCATTTTAAAAAGCTACTCTGTAATGTCAATGTTTAGATCAAAAAGATTTACTGATATCTTATGAGTTACAGAATAAAGGTCAAACTCCTAGAGTGACAGTCAATATCTGCCAAGATCTGCCTCAATTTACCTTTCCAGGCTTATCACCTGCCACATTCATGTTTCTTGTTTCGCCTTGGAGCCTTTCTTCCTGTAGTTTCCTCTTCAAACCTCTGCCCACTGAAATCCTACCCAGCATTCAATGCCTTCATTTATTTTTGTAGCCTGAATGAAGGCTTGAAATTGCCACTTCCTACTGAAAGCATTGCTTCTTTAGCTCAGCTGGAAGTCCTCTTTCCCACTCAACTCAACACATCGTTTCTGCTTCTTTATAGGGCTGATCTTCAAACTTGATGCAGCCTTGTGATCATGTCTACATATCTTCGCTCTAACAATGGAATACATGTTATTGACCACTTTTGCAAAGGAAGGAAACTTGAGTTTACACCAGACTATGTCAGAGCTCCCCTTAAATCATGTAGTGAGTCCTCAGTAAATATTTTTGAATGGATGAATATGAATTACTCTCCTATGTACAATAACCCTTTAGAATCTTCAAAGAAGCAGCTAAATCATTCCCAAGACTTTATACAGTTAGTGATTTCGTGAAAGGAAAATATTCGAAATTGCATGAGCTTTGTGACTCAGTCTCCAAGGAAGGAAAGCTGGAAAGAGGCAGAGATATAATTTGCTGAACTCAAACAATAGTCCAGGATACATGTTATCTCATGTAACTCTCACCACAACCTTTTGAGGTAGGCATTATGCCCCCATTTGACAGATGAGGAAACTGAGCCTCCAGAGGTTTGTTAGCCATGGTCAGATAGCTTAGTAATATGTTGAGTAAGGATTCAAACCCAGGCAGGTATGACTCCTAAGCAGAAACTCCACTGCACTACTGATGAGAGAAAGACTTGAATATGTAAGAAGCAGGCTGGCACAAAGAACTAATCCACAAAGCAGAATTCCAATATATGAATTGAGAGTGAGAAACACAATTGTCAAGTGGCCTATAATTGATGGGCTAGTACATTTCTCTTTATAGGAAGGCTTCTGTGAAAAGCCAAGTTATCTGAAGATGGTTAGGGCAGCTGGAATCTGAGCAAAAGGAACAAATGAAAAGATCAATCACTGAACCGGCTGCACACAGAGCGAACTTGCTGGTGAGAGCTCCAGTTTCTTCCTTCTCTTTCATTCAGCAAATATTTATTGACCATCTAGTATGTACCAGGCACTGTGCTGGGCTCTGGAAATCCAGCCAGTAAAGCTTCCAGACCGGTGGGGGCATAGCCCAGTGACACTGGCTGGGCTTATTCTTCCCTTCCCCCATGCCTAATATTTTTGGCTCAGTAAAAATCTCCACCTCCTGTTGCCATACTCTCTCGACTCTTGCATCAGCTATGCTGAAGCCAATGATTGGCCAATGCTTTTATTATTCCTCAACCACATTCCAGTCCTGAAGAAACGTCTAGATTGGATTTGAAATGCTTTCGGTTTCCTCAGCTTCGGAACCTCTCTCAGTTTTTAACTGTAATGGGATTCTTATCTGTTTTGAATTCATTCTTTCTGCATTAATTTTCTAATCCCAAATTGTGGGATCAGTTTGCTATAATGACCTTTTCTCTGACCATACCTGGGGCTGTGATTTATCACCTAGTTGTAATTATCTGAGCTCTTCTTATTGTTCTCACCACAGTCTCCCTTCCTATCTCAGAATACAATTCCTGCCTTGGGAGAGCTTTCAGGTAAGAAGCCCTACTCCAAAAGGTTTTATAAAGCCAAAGCCGGCTCTACCTCTGTGGCTCATTCACACATTCATCCATTCAATCACTCATTAAGCAGGCATTGTGCTAAGTGCGGAGGAGGTCTTTCGGAGCTGGCAGGTGCTGAGCTCTGAAGCTACACAATTAAGATTGAAATTGTCTCCTGGAGTGCTGCTGCATCAGCGAGGCAGAACAACCACAGACTTTCAGAAACAGCCAACTATCTCTTAAGGGCACTGCCCAGGAGTCCTGAGTTTTAGCTATGTGACCCAAAGAGAACTTTTTTCAGTTCTTAGACTCTGTTTCCTCATCTATATAACAAAGGAATTGGAAATAAGCTCTAACCCTAGAGACGCTGTGGAGAGGACTGGTGTTGATAAAGGCATATAACTCGGTTTCATCGATTGTGTATACTGACGGCAGAAACCAGGTTTCAAAAAGCTCGCCTCTCTTAAAAAAAAATAAATTAAGTAGAAAAACTGATCAGCTGGGATAACTCTCTAAGAATTCCAGTTGGTTTTGTCCGCTGAGTGAGCCCTCAGCGCCCCCTGCAGGCAAGACCCTCCTGTAGCCCAGAACCGACTGGCAAGGATGAAATGGGGGCCGCCTTAAAATGTTTTGAGTTTATAGGATTGTCAAGTCCCACGTCACTGCTTGAAGTCCTGAAAAGAGGCCAGGCAACAGCTAAGTAAAAATGGGTTGCTGAAGATTCTTCTGCTGCCATCAGGGACCAGACTTCCCAGAGACCTCCCAGCCTGATTGTGCTTCCCATTGCTTTCGCTTACTCCTGCATCTTGAGGTTCAGAGAAAATAAACCATTTGCCTAAGGTCCCCAGAAGTTGGTCACAGAACGGAGACTAGAACCACTTGCACCGAAAGAGGTTGCCCCAGGAGCGCCATATATCCAGAAAAGAACAACTCTTTTTGTTCCAGTGTCCTCCTCTCCCTATTTCCCTCTTCCACTCCTAAGAGGGCCATATATCCAGAAAAGAACAATTCTTTTGGTTCCAGTGTCCTCCCTCCGTATTTCCCTCTTCCACTCCTAGAGGCCCTAGGCTGTCCTTGGAGTAACGCCCCTGGCTCTTGTCACCATCTTGCCCCCCCACCCCTTCCTACCTTTAAGACTTCGGTATCCCTTCACTTCTCCCACCAAAAAAAAAAAAAAAGTTGTACTTGAAATAATATATCAGAGTCGAAGGTTTCAGTTCTAACGTTTCCTAGCCGTGAACCTGTGCAAGTCGCTTCACTTCTCTGAACCTGTTTCCTGCTGTGTAAAATGGGGCAATAAATGAGGACCAGAGCTAATGCATACGAATCCCTTAACAAGGCTTGATGCAGATTAAGTGTTTAACAAACTATAATTGTTATTATTTATATGGTTACTGTTTTTATTTTAAAGTATCTAGTGACAGTGTGTGTTCAAGAAAGATGGTTATCGCCATTTAATATTTAAAAGTCTGAAG